ATCACTGGTACATTGAAACCTAATAAACCTGCTGAAGCATTTGCCTGTATTGCAAATAAACACTGATTGTAACTCTTTGGCTAAAGGTTTAGCACAGAGATGAGAAACTGCTCTCCCTTGAGCTCATGCTCAAATAAATTGGTTAGTCTCTAAGGTGCCACAAGTACTCCTTTTCTTTTTGCGAATACAGACTAACACGGCTGTTACTCTGAAACATGCTCTCCCTAGTGTAATTCACCTTGACCAAATCAGTTTTATATGAAGACATAGAGGGCCAATAACTTACAGCAGCTGATGGACATAATGGTGTGGCAGCACGACTGCATCATCCATCAACCATAATCTCACTCAGAATGAATACACCCACTCATATCCCACACTGACTCAACTTTATACCCTTATCGATTCCCAGGCAGGTTTCAAACATAGATAAAATGCATATAGCTTTTCTCTAGGGAGGAGAGATACGAGCTAGAGTGCCACAGGGCAAACTACCTCCCTCTAATGCAAGATAGGGTCAGATTTCCCAGCCCCAGAATGTAAGATTGCTCTTTTCTGCTGACGCTCTGTGGTTTGAGTACGCTGCATTTATACAACACCCTTCAAGGAATTCAACATTACGTTATCACCCCCATTTTATAGATTGGGAACAGATGTACAGAGTGGTAAAATGACATGAGTGTAAGCTCTTGGGGGCAGGGAACATCTGTGCTTGTACAGCACCTACCACAATGGGCCCCTGATCCACAATGGAGGCATCTAGGTGCCACCACAGTACAAATAACAACTTTCTAAAGTGCATGGCAGATTGCAACAGAACCTAGGTCTTCTTGCTCCTAGTCCCCTGCTCCTAACAGCAGAGAACACTGACTCTGCACTGCTATATTTGTTGTTATTCCAGAGAGGTAAAGGATCTATTCTTAACTGTAAGCCTGTCTGTGGTCAATTAGACTTCTCTTGCACAGCAGATGCCATTAAAACGTTGACATTTCCCTGGTATCCGCCAAGCTATGGACAGAGAATAGGGCAAACGCTGGGGCACAGTGTCAAGATTTTAATGGCAACCACTCTGTATATTACAGCCCTAATTTTCAAACGTGGGTGCCTGAAGTTGGGCACCTAAAGTCCATATTTAGGTCCTTAAATAAATTGTCTGGTTTTCAAAAGGACTGAGCACACACAGCACCCATTGAAATGAAGAAACAGCAGGTGTTTATTTAGTGGTCTAAATGGGGATTTATAAGTCTACATTTAGGGACCCAGGTTTGAAACGTTTGGCTATTAAGTCTTTAAATGAAGACTGGCTGCCCTTCTAAAAGATACGATACAGCAAGTTATGGGCTTGGTGCAGGAATTACTGGGGGAGGGTCTATGGCCTGTGTTATGCAGGAGTCAGACTAGATATGGGTTTGTCTTCACTACAGAGTGTTATAACTTGAAGGTTGCCTGTAACTTGAGTCCTGGCTACATGTAAAACCCTTAATTCGAGTGTAGGGAGGCTTTTAATTTGAGTGGCAGGTCTGAGGGCAGGGGAGAGGGGTTACAGGCTAAAGCTCAAGTTAGCACAACTCGTCAGATGCTAACTATGCTCTGTGCAGCTCGCTTCTTATTCACACAGTAGCCGCTCTCACCTGAACGAGGCTAACTCAGGAGGAGTTAACGGGAGTGTAGAGAACTCTGCACTGAAGACACAGCCCAGGACAGTCCTAAAATTTGCACAAGCAGCAATTGTTACAGAGATTATTCTTTCAGTGCCTTGTTCAGGGCTTTGATACCCATGTTACGGGCTCTGTGAGGTTTTATTGGTTACTTCCACTAGATGGCACGGCTTTGTTAGGCCTCTTTGCTTCTGAGGGTCAGACTAGGGGGAGCCCAACTTATTGTGTGAATCTGCCATCTCATTTGTGACACAGGAGCCCAGAGCCAGCAGCTGCTGTTCCCACAGTGGGCTATTATGTGCTCTGGAGAGATAAATAAAGAACATTGTTTCCTCACTGTTCTGGAGTCTTCTTAGCGAGGCTGCTAGTGTTACAGTAAGAGGACAGACACTGTGATCTTCTCCGCCCCTACACCAAGGGTTTGGGCCAAATTCTGACACTCCTCAGTTCTCCCACCCCCAGTCTTAATCGTGCATCAGATTCCAGCTGGCCACTGTCAGGCCTTTGGGCCCTGTAAAGCCCATGGCTGTGGGGCCCATCTGACCCAGGGAGGCTGAAATGTAAAGAGAAAAGGAGTACTTGTGGCACCTTAGAGACTAACCAATTTATTTGAGCATGAGCTTTCGTGAGCTACAGCTCACTTCATCAGCTCACGAAAGCTCATGCTCAAATAAATTGGTTAGTCTCTAAGGTGCCACAAGTACTCCTTTTCTTTTTGCGAATACAGACTAACACGGCTGTTCCTCTGAAACCTGAAATGTAAAGGAGACTCTCAGCCTTCGGTTAGGAAGCTCCTTGCCCTTTGCCTTGGGAAGGCAGCCTTGAAAATGTGAAGCATCGCAAACCAATCTCAGGAGCTGGAAGGAACAAGCAGCTCAGTGCCATTGCTGCAGGGCCAGGGTGGGAAGGGGGCTGGAAACATGATGGTTACCGCGCCACACGAGTCAGCTACATGTGGGATGTGTCTCAAAGAATGATCTGACTGACCTTCCCCAAATCCTCAGCCTGGCATAGTGGGGTGATGATGAAGTACAGGAAATGGCTCCAGTGATGGGGTGGGGAACTGGTTTACAGGCCCTCCGCTGCTTTGGCTGCACAGCCGGGCATTTCCTCACATTCAGCCTCTCACCCCAAGTACAGTGTCCCTGCCTGGAACAGGAGTAAGATGTGTGGGATGCATACTTGTGAAATGCATGGACAGTACTCCCTAGTCCCTGGTCCAGAAAACCTCTTTCCTCCCGTTTACAACTGTCCCAGGCTGGCTAGGACTGCCAGAGATTTTTAAACCCAGCACTGAGGGCAGTGAGCTACACCCAGAGGCCTAAGGAAAGACTGAGCAGGGATTTGTTTGTGTGCTTGTTTCAAATCTGTGTTCCTGCCAACAGAACGTGAGAGCAGAGCCAGCCAGCCAGCAGCAGCAGCAGCCTTGGGCTGAGTGCCTCCATCCTGCTTCAGCTCCTGTGTACTCAACTGCTAGAGAGAAAGTAAGTGAGGCAGGATTCTCAGTCCCAGCTGGCTCTGCACAGCAGCAGGATCAACAAGCACAATGGAAGACTCAGCTCTCCAGTCCCAATGCTGCAATAAAAAATTGAGGAGGCAAAGGGAGTGGGACAAACAAGAGGGGTGGGGGGAGAAATGAGGACAAAACTGGGGGGAGGGGTAGTAAGAAGCCACGCAGTGAGAGACAGCAGCATTGCCAACTCACTAGATTTTATCCCAAGTCTCACAATGTTGGTGTGTGTTTTTCTTAAAGCTCCAGCTCCTGGAATCTTGTGATTATGTGTTCATTTCAGCTGGGTTAAAATATATATATTTCTAGCCCTCCTGATTGTGAAGAAAAGCTGGAAAACATAAATAAAAAGAACACAACATTTACTACTTTTTGAAATTCCATTATTTTAAAGCCAATCTCACAAGTTGTGACCTGACTCCTGATTGGGGTTGGCAATAGTGAGCCAGAAAGATAATGGCACATAAAGACCCAGGGGATAAAAATTGAGGGGACCCAGGAAGGGGGAGAGAGAATAGGATTTTAAAAATCAAGAGAAACTGGAGAAAATGGGTGCTATCAGTTGGAGAAGCCCCACATACTCTCATGGGAAAGGCCACTAGAGAGATACAAAGACCTATGCCCACCCCCAAAATGAGGGAGATGTTGGGGGAAGAGAGAAGATGCCTGATATCTTCTCCTTAAGATAATTCCCACTCCAAGACATTGAGAGGTAGGGAGAAGCGAGGCTTAAATTCAGCTGGAGCTGTCTGGAGCCGAGCTCCGGTAAATATTCTCAAACCTTGACTCCAGCCTGATGCTGTTGTGGTTCTCAACTGGGGATCTGTGGCTCTCTTGGGGTCCGCGAGCTGATTTCAGGGGGTCCACAAGGTCCTGCAGGGCTGAACTCTCGTGCACACCCGCTCCCATGGGGCTGAAGCCCCAAGCCCTGACATGCCCCATGGAGAATGGGGCAGGGGTCACAGCGGGCTCTGGGAAATACTCTATGAGATTTAAGCCCTGGGGAGAAGCCTGTTAGGAGAGGGGTTTGAGTGACTAGATGGTTGTTTGGGCCTTTACAGCATTAGCTATGGATGCCCGAGTCACCCTCAAATCTGCCAAATTAGGATATTCATATGAAAACCATCCTAAAAATTCAACCAACATGCCCACAGCTATCCAGCAGCCTAGCATCCCCCAGGCCCTTAGCTTGTCAGCATTGTCCCTGGCAACATTTTGACAATATTGACAACTACGCCTGCTAGATCTCCACTTTTGGGATAGTTGATGTTATCTGCTGCGGCTAACCGGACCTGATGGCACGTGAGATGCAGGCAGAACTTTCAGCTGGCTTGAGCCTAGGAAGGATACAAGTTCACACCAATCCACCGGCTGAAAACCAGCAATGACTTCTCCTGGGCCCGAGGAGCGGGGAGGGTGGTTGCACTTGGCCCAGCACATGGTGCAAGCAGTTTAGCTGGGGGAGAGGGACTGCCCCTGGTGTCCCTGTGAGCCTTTCCCACTGTTTGTTAGGAGCTGTTTGGGGCTGCAGGGCTGGCATATCTTGACCCCTGCCTGGGCAGTAAGGGGGTGCCAGGGGTGGGCACTGCAGGCCTGGCTGAGCTGGGCCTGCCTAAGAGCCGCCTGTGGGACTGACCCCCAGCTTTGATCCTATTGGGATCCAGGACGTGGGCGGGCAGAACGAAGACTCCGCTGCAGCCACCTAGGCCCCGCCCCCGCAGTGTAGCCACGCCCCTAGCGACGGTAGGTGCAACCCCCTCACAGTGACCTCACTCCCGGGCTGCGCTCCCCCCCTCCCCGCCTCTCCTCCGCGCCCTCTGACCCCGCCTCTCGGCCCCGCCCCCAGGCCGGCCGGTGCTGGCTCGCGCCGGGACTCCCGCTCCCCTCAGTCGCGGTGGCCGAGGCAGCGGCGGTCATTGGCCGGGCCCGGCCGTGCGCGGCGATGCGGGTAAGGCTGCCCCTCTCCCCGCGGCGGGCCGGCGGTGACAGGCCGGGTCCGACCCGCTCCCCTCAGCCCCTGCGGGGCGGGGCCAGCGACCGGCATCCGTCCCTCCTGGGGTCCGTCCCCCGGCCCCGGTGCGCTCTCGGGTTGGGCAGCGCGGGCGGGGGAGGGACCCGCTGGCCCATGTGGGGGGCGGCTGTGATGGGGGGACCGCTGCGGCGTGGGAGCCCCGATCCGGCCTCAGCGGCGCTAACTGCGGCTGCCCCGGAGCGCGCCGGCCCCGGCCCAATGCCGAGCTCTGCACCTTGTTCCGGGGCCAGCGCTTCACCCGGAGCCCGACCGGGCGCGGGGGGGGCTGCCCGCTGGACACGGCTCAGAGCCAGAGCCAGAGCCCGGGCCCGGACCCGCCCGACAGGCACCCAGCCCGGGCGCGGAGGGGCCCCACCTCCCATCGCCTCCACGGGACAGCTGGGGAAACTGAGGCACGGACAGGCGTGGAGCCGGGCACAGTGAATCGGCTCTGGGTTCCTGCCCTTCTGCCCTTGCGCACACGGGGAATAAAGGAGGGCGCAGGCCTGAGCGAGCAGCCCTATATAGGGCACTTTCTGCCGGCGTTGGAGAGGTTGGGCCGGGGGTTATTCCTGTGGGTGAGCAGGAGTCTGATGCGTTGGGCAGAGTGCTAATAATGTGCTGTCATGCACAAAGCCACCGACAGGCAACTCAGGAAAAAAGGGACGACCAGAAAAGCCTTACACACATACACAGTCCTGAATTTCACCACATAACTTATTTCCCTGCATTTTGATCATCACTTGAAATATACCTGAGCAAACTTGGTGCCACTATACTACAGAGCATGCAAGACAGCTTATATTTTTTGTCAGTAGTCTGTATTGATAATATCCATTTTTGTGGCTTACTACTACCTATTTTCACTGCCAAGTTTCTGAATAAAGCTTTAATATCAAGACTAGTATGGACTGAGCACCACTAAAGTCTTCTGTTGGGAACAATCTTTCCATTATTATTTCACTTTAGAGTTCTTTATCATTTGAATGTGCACATATTAAGCATTTTAAGATTAAATCAGAGCTTTCAAACATTAATATCCAGCCAAATTCAGCCTTACACCTTCAGGCACTCCTTTAGAAGTCAGAGTGGCCTCTAAGCAATTAAAAAAAATAATTAAAGGTATTGTACCTCCGCTGGAGTCCCACTGCCAATTTTTGTGATTTTACAATCCTGTCTCACCCCTGCACACCCTTTTAAAAAATTATCTTTCAAACTATTGCTCTATGAAGGACAGATACAAAAGGCAAAACAGACTCCAGGAGACATGGTGAAACTGACGAGGCACAAAGTATTATCAAATGTGAAAAAAAACAAACCTCAGATGGATCATTTTTAAACCAGTGTCTTTAAGTTTGTTTTCAACAATATAATAGTGGAATGTATTTGTTTAAACATGAACTTTTTTCCCTTGCTTTATCAGTTCTCTTTTCTTAGCTTTACACAGGCATTATCACGGCTGTCTTTATTTACAATCCTTCCTTTGCACACTGAAATCCGCGGTGGAACGACAGTCAGACTGAATAACACACACAATGTTGATCACTGGGGGAGAGAGTGAAGGACATACTGTTTTTTAGCATCATTATTACAGACTATTTAAGACAAAATGAAGATCTTTATTCTGCTTTGGAAACATTAGAATTTAAGCATCTAGACTACATTTTCTGTTTTCTACATTATAAGTTTTCCTAGTGATCTCATATTATTGCAGTAACACAGAAATGCAGGACCAGCACTTGGTGGAAAGTCCTAGCACCATTGAAGCATTAAGCTGGAAGTCTTTGAAAGATCTTACGGCCAAAGTGAGTGGTATGTCTCTCAGTCAAAATAGTGAGGGAATTAAGGAATGGAACATAAATGAAAGAAGAACTAAGGAAGATATAGTGGAACTTGAAATGATGTATCAGAGCCTCCCCTGGGGGAACAGTAGAGGAAGAAACTGTGAAGGGTTTTCTGAAAGCATTCATTGTACATCAGAATCCAACAGTTCCTGGGGTGACTTTGAAAGTTTCAGTGAATCCTTAGTCAAGTCTGAGCGCATCAGTCACAGTCCTGAAGTTTTGGTGAATTCAGCAGAAACAAAAATTTCTGATGTGGAGTTAAATGGAGAACACTGCAACACTTCTCATGGGCATCACTGCTCCAACCCATCTGTACACAATGGGAGGGAACCTAGTGCTGGTTCTCTGGATAAGGTATGTGTTGCTAGTAAGTCAGAGACTGCTAAAAGTTTAATTGTTGTGCTACAGTTTCTTTAGGGTACTAGAAAGCACTTTGTGCAAACTGTACTTTGGGAGGATACACTTTTGGGAGGATAATGTAATTAAATGCAAAGTTGAAGATTATGAAATGTGATTCTTTTCCATGAAATACTGTAGATTAGTCTTGTTTTTATTGCTGTAATGCTTAGAGGCCACAGTCAGATTATGTTGATATGATGCCTAGCACAACACAAAGCAAGCTACTGTACATGCTTTGGGGGAGGGACTTATCTAAAAGACAATAGCTAGAATATGTGGGAGGAGGAGGAGGACAGGGTTACAAACATTTTATATATTTAAAAGCAGAGATTAGTAGTATGCATAATTCTTAGCCAATTATATCAGTAATTACAACTCACCACCTACCTACATGTTATCAGATGGTTGTTTTCTGAATGTGCTATTTCAGAAGTGAGTTTTGAGAAGGGATTGAGTGGGGTGGTGACTTTATGGATTTTGGCTGGAAATTTTATCCAGGAGCAAGGGGTAGCTTGGGAGAAAGCACAAAGGTTCTTGTGGGAGAAGAGGAGATTGAGGCTGGAATCATTGGCAGAGAAAGGTGGGAGTTGCCTTGTGATAAGACACTGGGATGTATAGGAAGGGAGGCTCTAAATTGTGGAGGGTTTTGAAAATTAGGACAAGAAGCCTGGGTGTGGTGGGACAGAAGAGAGGGGAGCATATGAAGAGATAAATACACATTACTAGTTACTCCTGGCCAAAACAGACCATACCAAGTCACTGGATTTCTCTCTAAAAGAGACATTTAAATCTCTTCTGCTACCAACATCCTACTTTAATCTGTATGGTTAACCAAGGCAAAGAGATGTATCAGATGCAACTCAGAGTGGGGTATGCCACTCAACTATGAGGTATGTTCAGTTTCAGGGCAGAAAGACAGTGATGGACTACTGGGAATTCCCCTTGTATATATAATGTATACGAAAACAATGTAATTTATCCCTCACTCCCCTCCTTGGTATATTGCTTGCCTACAACTGTAAGGTCTTTGGGGCAGACACTACATCTTGTGTGTGGAACATACCTAGCACATTGTCACTGCTGCCAATAATAAATAGTAATAGTTTGAGACAGAGCCCTTAGGCCTCAGGATGTAAGTCAAACAGCAGCTTCCTGGGCCTATGAAGAGACTTCCTGCTTGCCCCTCCCGCCATTTTATACCTTCTTCTGAAAGATCTCCTATTGGCCACTGTCAGACAGGATACTGGACTAGAAAGACCACTGGGCTAGTCCAGGAGTTCTCAAACTGGGGGTCAGACCCCTCAGGGGAGTCACAAGGTTATTACATGGGAGGGGGGGGCTCACAAGCTGTCAGCCTCCATCCCAAGCCCTTTTCCTCCAGCATTTATAATGGTGTTAAATATATAAAAATGTGTTTTTAGTTTATAAGTGGGGGCCCACTCAGAGGCTTGCCATGTGAAAGGGGTCACCAGTATAAAAGTTTGAGAACCACAGGACTAGTCTGTTATGGTAATTCCTTTGTACCTAGCTTTAACAAAATAACAGATCTGAACTCTGACACGCATTAGACATTCATTATGACAAAGCCACAAGATGAGGGAAAATAGGCTGGAGTTGAGTGTTAAAAATAATGTAACTAAGCAGATAAGACGACTATACACTGAGAGATTCCCATCCAGGAAAATGCTAAACAACATATTTGTACTAACTAACCTTTATCTGATTATACTGTAGACTGGTGGGCCAGCACGTTGAAGAAAGCTCCCAACAGTGACATAGTTTCAGCATTTTCTTTCACAAAAAGAGTTCAGTATCAACTCAACACACACCTTTCATACTCTCATTCCTTCATGAAGTCAGGACCTGCTGCCTGGCCTTTCCTAAAGCCTCTCCCTGGTAAGGCCGCTAATCCCTGCAGCTATCCCCCCTACCAGCCCATCCACCTGATGGATACAGAGCTCCTCCCCAGTCTTTCCTGACCCACTCTCTCCCTCTCTGAGCAGGCTCCTTCTTACAGGAGGTCTTCTGGCACATGACACTTGGTCAGCCATAGCGGTGCTGTTACACATGCACAACAGCATGAACAATTTCCCGAGCCACATGTGTGTCTATATAGATGGTTTGGACACCCCAACAATAACCCTTCAGGAAAGTTAGTGGTTCTGGGCCCGTACGTTAGGAATAAATCTCCCTTCTGACAGTATCAGGAGTTTGTGGGCAACCTAGGACTCAGCACCATTCCTTGAGACTTTCTAGGCAGTCCAGGCTCATCCCCTACATAAGCCTTCCACCAGCCCCACTGAGAGGGATTGAGCCTGTCCTGTCTGACCAAGACCAATCTCCTGCTCGATAGCTGTAAAATAATGTAGAAAAAAAGCCTCCAGAGTTTACATGCCTGGTTTCCAAGGTGTCACTATTCTACAGAAGTGTGGCTAAGATGCCAACTCCTTCACACCCAGTCATTGAATGCAGTAAAGAATGATATAAGATGCTCCTCGACCCTATCTTCCGCACACAGAAATGGTTTAAAAAGGACACAACTAAATAGTTTAGTCCCAAAATTAGACCAGCTTGGAGAATATTATACTTTGGTAGCAAGCCATCTGTAGATTTAAACTATCTGAATTTAAAAACATTAAATGGATAGTGTCAAGTAAGAGTTCATATTTTGAAAAGTCCCTGGACTTGTATTTACTTACACTTAACACTGCATTTTTTTGTAAACATGTTTTCATTTTTGTACTTTACTCATCTTAGACAATGAAAACAGACTAGAGAGTTCCACTTTCTGGTTCTCATGCAACTACAGAATTTGGGTTGCAAACACACTAAAGGAATATTGCAATCCAAAAGTACGTTTTAAAAATAAATAAATTCTATCATTCTGGGCAAAAATGGAATTAAAATGGTCAAAATCAAAACTTTGGAGCAGATGGACTGAGCATTTCTAGAACAGGGCTTGATTCTGCATATCCTTACTCATGTGAGTATACTCCTGCAAATAATCCTATTAATTGCACTGGGACTCTTTGTATGAGTAAGAGTCGTTCATGTGGATAAGGACCTGATCCTCCAAATCCTCAGTCATTATTGGCATAGGAGGAACAAATGTGTAAGTTCTCTCTCATGGTTCTATACCAGCAATTAAAGAAACACACCATTTTATGGTGCACACACAAGTAAACAAAGATTCATTTCAGCTTTATTGGATATCCTGTAAACCGTGTGCATAGAGTTAACTATTGACTACATATATAATGTGACTATACCTCATTTAATTGAATGTATAAACATGATGTGTGCATATCTACATCGGTCACGTACTCTGACCCCGCTCCTTCATTTAAGCAAAATGCTTGTAGATTTGAGCGTGTGGTGTGCTACTACTAAGGGGCTTTGCGTCAGGCTTAAAGTAGATGGAAAAAAACTCCCATTGACTTCAGTAAGCTTTGGATCAGGTCCTGTGTGAACTGCAGGATTGGCCTAATGAGGTTTGTAATAAAACTCTGCTTTTTCTAGGCCAATCTCAACTATGAAGATATTTTTAAGTTGAGTTTTCCAGAAGTCATTGTACCACAGTCCACAGAGAGCATAACAAGCTTAGATCAAGTTCTTGACGCAGATAATGAAGACATTGGGATTCTTGAATTTACGAAGAGACAGCTTTGGTAAGGAATTTAAGTAAACAGTCAAACACCTGGCAATAATACTGTTAATTTTTCTGAAAGAAGTTGCGGGGAGGAGAGTGAACTTACTTGTTTCAATTTAAAATATGCTATTTCAGATCTTTGGTTGTTTAATCAGTACATGAAGTTTATCAGATTATTGGGTTCAGAAGGGAAATGCAGTTGTTTTTCTAGTCCCTGAAAAGTATAACAGTCCACCTATCGCTGGTATTCATTCTTTTTGTAGAATTCCTACTACTTTTGGTAGCACTTCTGATTGCTAAGTTCCTGGAATGCTGGACACCAACAGACAGAGTGTGTGTGTTCTTTCTGTTGTCAGCATTCCTTCTCTTTCCTGCAGGTTTGTGTTGTTTCTCTTTCATCAAGAGTAGCAACACAGGTTCTTCTTTCCCCAATCACTGGTACTTTTCTGACAACAGCCTCCCAATTCTCCCAGTAATTATTGCTCCTCCTGTTAAGCTACATGCTCTCCCTAATCAGTGGTGCATCTGGTTTCCTTCCTGGAGATTATGAAGTTAACAGCAGTTGAAATGGGTAACTTGGCTGTTAAGTCTGCTGGAATGCTGATCAACTCGTTACCTGTTTTGAAAGGATTAGTGTATCTGCACTAGTAGCTGTTCTGGTTTCTGCATACATCTGGAACATTGTAACTAAAAAGTAGGCTTAGTTATTTGTACTGCATATTAGTGAAGGTCCAAGAATTAACACATGCAATAAAATAAATGTTTTTATTTTTTCCCTTCAATAAACTCCTTACATGCACACCAGTCTGATCAGGTAACTTACTGTTGGGAAAGAAAAGAGGGTGGGGAGAGAGAGATTGTTATGTTTTAATTCTTGGGAGGCACACCAATATTATGGTGCTGTGTAACATACAAGGAACCTAGATAGTCTATGTGATAAACTACCCATGACAGATGTTAGCCACATCACTTAATGCACTACTGGAAGGCACACAGATAGTGTGGTGATGAACATGGCATAAGAACCTGAATAGAATAAGTAGTTAGGCTTCTGCAATTTGACATCCTGATTTAGATGCCTAATTCTTTTCCTCTGTGTTTCCTTGGAGCTGGGCCTTTGCTTTAAATACTGTTTGAGCATCACAGAGAAGGAAATCACACCTACCCAGATGAGACCAAATATGAAAGGTAACCCATGTGAATATCAGGCTGGCTCAATGCAGCCCGAAAGCTGAAATAATGAAGAGGGTTGAGAGAGACAGACTAACCAAACTGTAGGTTAGCTGCCTTTGAAGATAAATAAATAGAACTCTGCTTTGTACTTGCTTGCTCTCCACAACATGAATTGGACATCACCACCTTTGGATCATGATTTTTCTAATGCATATTTCCTGTCCACTTCTACTCATTCTGGAGATATGTAGGCATATAAAGCTCTCTCAGACATGCTCTTACTGTATGGCTATTTATTTGATGGGAAAAAAAGCATGCACAATTTTTTTGCCATTGCTTATATCATTGGGCATCATGCATCTTTGTTGGCAAGTTGGATTGATGACTTGGACAAACAGTTCTAAGAAAGTCAGATTGCATAGTAGATGGTTCAAGGTGTACCCCTGTACAGTTGTCTCCAGGGAGGTTGCATTAGAATTGAAAATTAGATAATGGTTTTATAGGAGGTATGGGCTCAAGATCATGGATTTTGTTTGGAAGTTTTCTATGAACTACAATTTCAAATTGCATTTCTTTTTAGCATGGACTCTGGAAACCTCTGGAGAACTCTTAGAGACCCCAATAGCACCACGGGTTTAAGATGTCCCTGGAATAAATCCCATTGCCAGGAAAACTTGTTATCTGCTCTTGGAATAGATGTAAATCAAAAGGTAATTTAAAAAATATGTTTGGCTAGAACATCAGTGTAAGTGTTCGATTTAAACTTGTAGTCATTAAAGTCATCTAGGCAGAAAAAAAAGACTTGTCACACAGCTGCACTAGGAAGTGTATTTTGGTGGGTCACAAATTCTGATATCTTCAGCTAGGTCCTTTTTGATGATGTAAAGGCTTGTCTACACAGGAAGTTATTCCTGATTAGTTCCTTGTGTGGTCACACTTATTCCAAAATAATGGAGTAAATCAGGAATAGTTGTTCCACTTAAATTCACACTCTACTTTATTCCAGATGAATTGTCATGTGTGGACAAGCCCTTAGTTTAAGGCTTCTCTGCTAAGATATTATAATGATGCAAAGACCAAATTCTGGCCGTCTTTGCCAATTTATAGTAGAGAACGTATTGAAGTCTCAATAATCCAAACGAAGTGACATACGGTCATTACAACTGAATCGATTTCTGATTTTGTTGGTAGAGTTCCACAAATTTAAGGGAGGGGGAGGGTTGCCTACTTTGAGGTGGAGGAGTTATTAAAATTTATACAAGACATTATGGATTCAGTCCAGTGAAGTCAGTTGACTTGACTTATGTGAAAATTGGACTGCTCTTTATGAAAAATGGAATCAGTTGGTCCAATTAAGTTCTGTATGCTTGAATATCTGGCTTAACTATACAGGTTGGAACACAGTATTCAGTTTGCCTTTATTCAAATCATTTCACTCATTTCAGAGTAAAAAAATAATACAGAAAAAAATATTTTAAATAAATTCAGAGATTAAAAAATGCAACATTTTAAACTCCCAAAGCAGAATGTTGCTATTCTGTCTTTTTATGTTGGAAAAATTAATTGGAGGTAGATTTTTATTATAATTACTTGTTTGGTTAGCACAAATTTAATCTTCTTGCTCTGCTTTTCAGAGGTAACTATCTTTATTACTAGCTGCTGTTAGCTTTCCTGATGGTTGCCTATTTGAAACTCCTGGTGTTACCTGGATTAATCAGCCTTTCAGATGAGTTTAATCAAACAAAATTGCAGTGCTGGTTAGTCATGCAAGACCTGGTCTACACATGAGTTATACTGGTATAACTGTGTTGGCTAGAGGGGTGATTTTATTTTAACTGGTATAGTTAGGGCATTACTATTCTCTTAGTGTGGATGCAATTATATTAACACACCCGTCACGGGGTGTTAGTCATGTGTAGTCATAAAGAAAGGAAAAGACTGTACCGCAGCCAGTTAGGTCTTATGCTGATGTCCCTTACTATAAATATGGTAGTAGGGCCTAGTGGCCAGCATCAAGAGTGTAGCCCTCTTGCCCAGGGTGGTGTGACCCAATGGCCAGAGTCAATAAAGTCACCCTGCTCTGTGGAATTAGGTGATCTGTTGGGGAAATGGGCACTACTCAGGGGTGTATGGCACCCAGGATAGGGGGACTTGGGCCCTCTCTGCTCCTCCCTGTCTCAGCCCAGGCAGTGCTAGGGTGCTCACCCCCAAGTCACCAGGGATCCTCCTGAAACACACCGACTGGTTCCCTGGTTCACTCACCAGAGAAGAGTCTAAGTCCCCTGGGCTGACCCTTTCTCCCTCAGTGGTGCTCCACCGTTCCCCCAGGTCTCTGGGGTCCTTGGATGGCATAGTTCCTGCTGGCACAATCTCTTCTCTGGGATCATCAGACAGCCTGGGGTCCATCTGAAACTCTGCATGCCATAGCTGTGTAGTTGGAGCCTGTAGTTTGTATCCTCCCGCTTCAGCAGCATGCCCAGACTGAGTAGTGCTGCTTTCTTTTATACTCTGCCTCCAGGCTGAGCATGCCCAGCAGAATTGGAGGGGCGGGGCTTTCTCAGTTTGCAAAGCACAGTTAACCCTTTTAGGGCTGGTGCAGGATAGGTACACCCCATCACAGCACCTTATACTGGTACAGTTAGCCCTATTTCTGTACAGGACTAAATATACAGGTATAAGATGTTTTTATGCTGATATTAGAGGGACTAGATGGGTGAGGTAATATCTTCTATTGGTCCAACTTCTGGTGGTGAAAAAGACAAGCTTTCTAGCTACACAGAGCTCTTCTTGAGGTCTGGGAAAGGTACCCAGTGTCACACCTAAATACACGGTGGAACATATTAGTTAGCATAAGTAGTTAACATATATCTGAGACAATGGTTCTCAACCAGGGGTACGTATACCACAGGGGGTATGCAGTGGTCTTCCAGGGATACATCGACTCATCTAGATGTTTGCCTACTTTTACAACAGGCTACATAAAAAACACTAGCAAAGTCAGTACAAATTAAAATTTCATACAGACAATGTCTTGTTTATACTTCTCTATATACTATACACTGAAATGTAAGTACAATATTTATATTCCAATTGATTTATTTTATAATAATATTGTATAAATGAGAAAGTAAGCAATTTTTCAGTATAGTATGCTGTGACACTTTTCTATTTTTATGTCTGATTTTGTAAGCAAGTAGTTTTTAAGTGAGGTGAAACTTGGGGGTATGCAAGACAAATCAGACTCCTGAAAAGGGTACAGTAGTTTGGAAAGGTTGAGCACCACTGATCTACAGGACCATTCAAAGTGAAGTGGCTAATTATTTCCTGTGCAGCCAAAGGACAAAAAATGGGGGGTTAGGGAGCTTCAGGGTGTTGTAGTAAGCCATAAATCCCGTGTCTTTATGATTTCTAGCAAGTTATGAATTTAAACTGCCAGGCTCATCTTTTGAAAGTGTTGTGCAGATTTCCTTTGAGGATGAGCACTGCCAGATCAGATACAGAGTGAGCATTCTGTGAAAAGTGTTTACCCACGCGTGATAGTGGTTTTGTCTTATTTATCTGTGGGAGTTCTTTTCAGAATGTAACGATTGTCTAGTTTCACCTACCTAGTTGTTGTTGGAGCACTTAGTGCACTGCATGAGTAAGGCTACGATTTTGTTACAGAATCCCTGACTTCCAAAGACGTCTGTGACTTCAGCCCGCCGCAGCTGCGGGGTAGGTGGCAGGGCCCTGAGGCTCCCAGCCACCAGTGGCAGCCAGGGTACCCAGCAGCTCCCCGCTGCTGCACCGGGGTCAGGTGTACCCCACAGTCCCCAGTTGCCATGGGCAGCAAGGGGACCTCCGTAGTTCCCTACCACCATGGGGGACAGGGGCCCCTGTAGCTGTGGGAGGCAGGGAAACCCTGGCTGGGGATCCCTGGAGCCCTGGCCAGCGCAGGCAGCATGGGACCCTAGCAACTCCTTGCTGCCACAGGGGGACCCCCCACAGCTGCCTGCAGCTCTGGGCCCTCACAGGTAGTGGGGGTCCCTGGGGCTTTTAGCCGGCCCCTGCAGCTACCCAGCGGGTTCCCATTTTGTCACAGATATTTTTAGTAAAAGTCAGGGACAGGTCACGGCTTCTGTGAATTTTTGTTTATTGCCCATGACCTGTCCCTGACTTTTATTAAAAATATTCTTGATAAAATCTTGGCCTTATGCATGATGTACACCATATGTTGGGATAAGCATATGCAGTACCTGTGGACTTTGAAAGGTGTATTGTCGGGGTATAGCAGTGGAGATTTATCTGCAGGTTTTGCATCTGTTAGGGCAGGCAGAGGCAGATTAAGATTTATTGGGGCCCACACTCCTGGAATTGCCCAGGCTCCCTGGCCAACTTAGAGCCAGGCAGTGGTAGGACTTCTGGCCAGGAGGCAGGGCTTCAGGGGGAAGAGGAGATGCAGGGGGCAGTGCCACTGTTCGGGTGCCAGCTGCACCCCTACTTCTGCCCAGGCTCCTGAGTCCTGTGCCCAGGCCCTAGGCATGAGCCTATCTGTTAATCCGCCACTGATGGCAGGATCGGGTGCTGTTTTGAGTTGGTCTCCATCAAGTATGGATTTGAATTGTTTAATAATATCCAATATAGGTTCCATTGCAGGGTGGTAGGTGACAATTAGGAGTGTGTGGTTGGAGGGGTTTTTTCTGTATTCAAGCAGGTTCTCTCACATTATACTATATAACAGCATCCACAGTAGGGGTGGTACTGCTTTACTGATACTGGTACAGTTAAAATGGAACAACTTTCTCATGTACCCAAGGCCTAACCTTTCCCCCCAAACCCTCTCCCCCCTAAAAAAAAACAGTAAGAGTGTCTCCAAGTGACGTTTTTAGGCCACAATCCAGCTGTGTGATCCAAGTGGGCAGAATCTTGCCCCTGCCCAGAACTGCACTGAAGTCCATGGGAAGTAGGTGGTGGCAGGGGATACACGTTACAGAGCTGATTATAGGACAGGGATTTAGATTGCAACTTCCAAAAATAAAGTTAAACGCTTATTTGCTTATTAGTTCTGAGAGGGGGACCTTTTTCGGAGGGCCAAAGCCCATTTATGTTGAATAAAGCATTTTTGACATTGATGGACACTTGATATTATGAAGAGTGTTTTAAATTATGCTACTTGTTGATTAGGACTTCTCAGGAGACAGCAAAGACGGTTTGGAGGAGACAAACGTTAAAATAAATGAAGACTTAGAAGATGGATTCAATATTAGTAACTGTAAAGCACTAATTCAAACCAAGGTAAGAGTTCTGAGGCAAGTACGTTAGAGAGATACAGGTCTCATATTTTACATGTCCCTGGGTGCTGTACAGACAGAGTTGTCAGCATTTCCCCTCCCCCACTCATGTTTTAACATACTTTCTAGTGGGACCTGGCAGTTCTTCAGCCAAATTTTGCTTTTCAAATGCTCCTGGAAATCGTGCACTAAGTACTATGTATGCACCAAGTGCAAAGTGATGTAAGATTGGGAGAGTTAGAACTTCAGGTCATATGTTATTTAAGGAACTTAAGTTGCATGATTAGTATGGGCTCTGTGCTAAGATACTAGCAAACATGTAATATTGATTGATGACACTTTGATGACTGAGGAGGTCCAGTCACCATACAACAGGATTAATGGGATGAAGGCGTGAATAAAAAGACAGACGTGACTCACTCTTACAGAACAGTGAGGGAGGAAGGGAAGAAGAATGGAGGAGGCAGTTGTGTCCAGCTGGTATTTCAGGTATTCAGAGTGAATCAGAGTTTAGGCTTCTTCAGGGGAGGGAAAGAACAGAGTAAACAAAAACTACTCTCAACAAAAGACGCAATAGCAAACTGTTTGAAATAAAGTAAAATGGAACTGCCCTAAGAGTTTGTGGTTTCGGGAACAAAGGATATTACTAGGACTTAGCCCATTTGTGTTAGTATGCTGAGAGAAACGTAACTGGAAATACTTAAAGTGTTCAAGCTAGTTTAATCAGGTAATTACTTACACTTGAAAATAACATTTTCTGGTGTCGGTGTACTTTGCCCTTAAATTTAGTCTCTATTTCAAGTCAGCATTTCTACGCGCTATGGGGCAGTTGTTAGTGAGCCTTGCAAATTCCATCAGTTTTTTGCTACAGGAATTTTGTTCATTTTGAAGGAAAACTTCACATTTAGAAATAAATGTTACAAAACTGCATTCTTGTTCATTTCTCTAAAAGAAAAGGCCCTCGTTTTGTTTTTTTAATAAGCTGTGGTAATGTTTAGATGAGAATGTCAAACAAAAGCTCCCTTTCTTTTGAGCAAAACATAAACGGTCTTGTTGCTCTGGTAATGCAAAATGCACGCACACACATGCATGCGAGTTTTTAGTCCACTTTACAAGCTGAATATTAAACTGTGTTCAATTTTGGACACCTCAGTACCTGAAAGATGTAAACAGGAGGGAGTTTAGAGAAGAGAAACACGTGGGACAGAGAAACTGGTAGGATTGATTCATGAAAGTATAAACGTCAGATATTTTGTTATTTGGTAAGGGTGGGGAGATCTTTGCTAGCCACACACCTTGAACATTTGTAAGAGGCAGGGTTTTTTTTGTGGGAGGAGTGAATCAAGAGGTAAAAATCAACATGATGGGATGAAATTAAAGAGGAAAATGTAGGCTGAATAGGAAAATCTTATTTAACAAGATCTAATGGATTTTGGAATAGCTTCTCAGGAGAAACAGGAAGTCCCAGAGCAAGATAATGCAAACTAGAATACATGTTAGGCAGTGTCTTGTAGTAAACAATCCTGTACTCACTTAGGGATGGGCTAAATGCACTAATAGGCCTCTTGTACATTTATGTTCCTGACTGTGAAATTATTAGCCTTACTGACAAAAATTAAAGTTACCAAATTGAAATGTTTACAATCTGTTTGAAAATGTAAGCTGTTTTAATTGCAGAAAAACTATTAAACTATTAAAAACTTTTTTTTTTCCCCTCATTTGACTCAGCTGCCTGTAGCACCAGATTCCAGACATGGTCATTTCTTTAGTTATAACCTGTTTTTGAAGAGGACACCATTAAATGGAAATATGCAATTTAAAACTGTCCCAAGAAAGAAGAGGATTTTCAGTACACACGGTCTAAAAATGAAAATTTTCAACAGTGATGCTTGCTAAAGCAAAAGTCCCTATCTTTCTTTCATTTAAAGTGCAGTTTACCTTCATTTTGTTACTGAAGTCTAGAGATGTTTTTGTGAAGAAAAAAAAAATCTTATATAATAGCTGTATGTTGCACCTAAAGCAGTTCTTTTACTAAAAGGTACTTATTGTAATTTAGGTTTAGATTCTAGTTTTGTCCTAGTAAATTTTGGTGGCAGTCATGGTAAATGATGAAGTCATATCTTGTATGGTAATCCAGCTAGAACCAAGCGTTACATATAAAGGCATTTGGTCATCTCTCTGTTACCTTTTAACAGCTGTTCCCTTTTGGTCTAAATGGATCTTTTTAATTCAAACTCCTCCTCCCCCCAAAAATCTGAACACATCTTCGGTGTGTTGTAAGGTGTGCCTTGGTGTTACCATCTCTTTTCCTTGACTTGGTTTGTTTTGGACTATCCTTGGGTCTGGTACGGTGTTGCTGCTGATCCCCTAACCTGAGGAACCCCTCTCCACCTCCACCACACACTCTATGATTTTCACATCGCTTTCTGTTTATAACCATGGCTTGTACAGTTTTACTTCTACCACTGAATGGCATTTTTACTGAGTGGTGTTTTAACACAGTTTAACCAGCTAGCCTGGATGGAGTCAGTATTATAAGCAGGTTCAGAAACTGTTCTAGGATCAGTCTCTGCTTGTAATATCTTTTGAATGCAGTTGTAACATGACTTTAGAAACATTCAGCCCCCAACCATTTTAAACTGGGCCTAGTCATCATGGTTGTAAAACTGTTAGAAGCTAGTTGTGCAGTCAAGGCTTTGTCCTGTGCAGTGCTGGAGGCTGCTATTTTTAAGACTTTAAATTTCATACTAATTACTAATTAGTTTTCCTACTGTCCTGCATGTACAAGTCCCATAGGGCCAAGTCAGGTACACTTCATATTTAATAACAGCCACAGAATCTATGGCTCGCTCCTGACAAATATTCATCTTCACTTGGTGTATAAGTTACATTACTCATTAGCAAGAACTTTACATGCAGGTTATATCAATATTTTCGTTACTTTGTCCCTTATAAATGTGAAAACTTTGTATGATTGTTTTTATTCTAACAAGCCAGATATGCCTCTACTGTGACTTTATGAAGATAACTGTACAGCATTATAACAAGAGGTTTTGTACAAGTTGTGACGAAGTGGGACTGTTCTTAATGTTTCCTCTGAATAGTGTGGGGGTGCCTCAGTTTCCCCTAGGCAGTTCTTAAGTATCTAGGGGGTGGAGTAAGGGTGTATGATCATTGCAGAGCCCTAGAGGGCATGTGTGTGCAGGAGTCTGGACACAGAGAATGGCCGACACCCTGTTTCCTGGCAACTGATGGCCTGGGCCCTTCCCCCCCCTGCAAGGTGAGAGCTGAAGGGTTGGAGAACAAAGGAATCAGGTGACCACCTGGCCCGGGAAAGGAACAAAGCCCAGAGGAGGAGGGGCTGGAGGGAGTTTCAGTTTGGGGCTGGCTGGGACATGGAGTGAAGTGCAGACGTGGTTGTCTGGCTCACTGCCCCCCCAAAATGGACCCAGCTGAGGGGTCCCGTTCTCTGCACCTGCAAGCTCTGTTTTAGACCATGTTCCTGTCGTCTAATAAACCTTCTGTTTTACTGGCTGGCTGAGAGTCACATCTGACTGCGAAGTTGGGGTGCAGGACCCTCTGGCTTCCCCAGGAGCCCCGCCTGAGCGGACTCGCTGTGGGAAGCGCATGGAGGGGCAGAGGATGCTGAATGCTCCGAGGTCAGACCCAGGAAGGTGGAAGCTGTGTGAGCTGCGTGTCCTGAAGACAGGCTGCTCACAGAAAGGCGACTGCCCCAGAGTCCTGACTGGCTTCATGGGGAGCAGTTCCAGAGCATCGCCCAGGGACTCCGTGACACAAGTATATTGTATATAGTTGAATTGTAAAGGCATGTGACAGAGAAACTGGATAATCTGAAATTAAATGTTTTAAATGTTAATTTAAATACTAAAAAGTAATCACTTCCTTTGTGTTAGGACCTGTATTTAAATGAGACCCTCACTGAGGCCTAGCCACACTTATGCCCATGCTTAACTTTGAGGACATGCGTAGTCTGCACTTAAAATGAAGTGTGTAGGTATTGGCAGAATTAAGGCCTAAATCTATATAAACTCCATTCAGCAGTAAAATCAGAGCTGAGTTATACATTTACTAGCAGTAGTAACTTTCAGGATACCTCAGTTCTATTAATTTAGGAAAAAGTGTTTGCATAATGCCTACTCAGTTAATGGGAACAGTCTAGCTTAAAGTCTTTTATTTGAATAGGTGCCATTTAAAATGGCCAGGAATTTAAGGCTCTGATCCTGCAATGACTTCTGTGTGGCTTGACCCAAAGCTTTATGTGGGTGTAGGATCAGGGCTGAAAGTCTTATAACTTTAAAGAAACACTGAACTTCCTAGCTTCAGAAACCTTCTTATAGTAAAAAGTTGGCAAGAGCTAACAAGTCTGCACTGATTTTTGTAATGTTGTATTTAATAGAATGTTCTAGATACAGATTTCTGCTGTATGTATTTTTTCATCTATTTTGAAATGGAAATGCAATCATTGCATTAAAGTGCTGATTTAATAAGGTGCTTAAATACCCATGAGCAACTTTAACTATTGGCTTCACAGCCTCAAGAACAATGCTTTTTTTTACCCCTGTCTTCACGAACAAGGTCAGCTCCCAGACTACTGCACTGGACAGCACAGCATGGGGAGGAGGTGACCAGCCCTCTGTGGAGAAAGATGTGGTTCGAGACTATTTAGAAAAGCTGGACGAGCACAAGTCCATGGGGCTGGATGCGCTGCATCAGAGAGTGCTAAAGGAGTTGGCGGATGTGATTGCAGAGCCATTAGCCATTATCTTTGAAAACTCATGGTGATCGGGGGAAGTCCTGGAAGATTGGAAAAAGGCTAATGTAGTGCCCATCTTTAAAAAAGGGAAGAAGGAGGATCCTGGGAACTACAGGCCAGTCAGCCTCACCTCAGTCTCTGGAAAAATCATGGAGCAGGTCCTCAAGGAATCAATTCTGAAGCACTTAGAGGAGAGGAAAGTGATCAGGAACAGTCAGCATGGATTCACCAAGGGCAAGTCATGCCTGACTAATCTAATTGCCTTCTATGACGAGATAACTGGCTCTGTGGATGAGGAGAAAGCGGTGGACATGTTGTTCCTTGACTTTAGCAAAGCTTTTGACACAGTCTCCCACAGTATTCTTGCCAGCAAGTTAAAGAAGTATGGGCTGGATGAATCGACTAAAAGGTGGACAGAAAGCTGGCTAGATTGTTGGGCTCAACGGGTAGTGATCAATGGCTCCATGTCCAGTTGGCAGCCAGTATCGAGTGGAGTGCCCCAAGGGTCGGTCCTGGGGCCGATTTTGTTCAATATCTTCATAAATGATCTGGAGGATGGTGTGAATTGCACCCTCAGCAAGTTTGCAGATGACACTAAACTGGGAGGAGTGGTAGATACGCTGTAGGGTAGGGATAGGATACTGAGGGATCTAGACAAATTAGAGGATTGGGCCAAAAGAAATCTGATGCGGTTCAACAAGGACAAGTGCAGAGTCCTGCACTTAGGACGGAAGAATCCCATGCACCGCTACAGACTAGGGACCGAATGGCTTGGCAGCAGTTCAGCAGAAAAGGACCTAGGGGTTACAGTGGACGAGAAGCTGGATATGAGTCAGTGTGCCCCTGTTGCCAAGAAGGCCAATGGCATTTTGGGATGTACATGTAGGGGCATTGCCAGCAGATCGAGGGAAGTGATCGTTCCCCTCTGTTCGACATTGGTGAGGCCTCCTCTGGAGTACTATGTCCAGTTTTGGGCCCCACACTACGAGAAGGATGTGGAAAAATTGGAAAGAGTCCAGCGGAGGGCAACAAAAATGATTAGGGGAGTGGAACATGTGACTTATGAGGAGAGGCTGAGGGAACTGGGATTGTTTAGTCTGCGGAAGAGAAGAATGAGGGGGGATTTGATAGCAGCCTTCAACTACCTGAAAGGGGGTTCCAAAGAGGATGGATCTAGACTGTTCTCAGTGGTAGCTGATGACAGAACAAGGACTAATGGTCTCAAGTTGCAGTGGGGAGGTTTAGGTTGGATATTAGGAAAAATTTTCACTAGGAGGGTGGTGAAACACTGGAATGCATTACATAGGGAGGTGGTGGAATCTCCTTCCTTAGATGTGTTTAAGGTCAGGCTTGACAAAGCTCTGGCTGGGATGATTTAGTTGGGAATTGGTCCTGCTTTGAGCAGGGGGTTGGACTAGATGACCTCCTGAGGTCCCTTCCAACCCTGATATTCTATGGTTGATTCTAGGATTACTGATAGTAAAGCAGAAATACAATGCTTAAGTAGGCAGTGTCCCTCTAATACCCTTTTATGTGGTCAAGAATTTCTATCTTACAGATGCGGAAAGCTTTTACAAAGGTTGAATGACTTGCTTATGGGTACACAGTAAATCAGTTGTGGAGCTGGGTATACAAACCTGAAATCATAACTCCCTGGTCATTGCTCCAACTACTAGATCAGGGATCGGCAACCTTTGGCACGTGGCCCGCCAGGGAAAGGACCCTGGCAGGCTGGGCAAATTTGTTTACCTGCCATGTCTGCAGGTTTGGCCAATCACGGCTCCCACTGGCTGCGGTTCGCCACTCTAGGCCAAATGGGGACTGCGGGAAGTAATGTGTATAACAGCCCAGGGCATATGATCATGATTCCTTCAAGTGGCTAGCCCCAGTCACTACACATGAGCATACATGTGAGCTAGGCATACAGAAGACTTTTCTGTTGACACCTAGATTAGAATTTTTACCTGTAAATGCATCTCTAATGTACGACAAACTGTGAATTTCTGCTGCCAAGAGAGGCAGGAGTATCAGGACTGTTAAAAATTTCATGCACAATGTGATGTAATTAAGATGACCTAACCCCCAGTGTAAACACCACGAGGTTGATGGAAGATTTCTTCTGTCAAACTAACTACCACCTCTCGGAGGGGTGGATTTACTGCAGTGGTAGAAGAACACCTTCCATCGTGGTAATAAGTGTCTATGCTGTACCAATTTCTAGTGTAGACATCCGCAAACATCTACCTCAGTGACAGAGGACTTGTAGGGCCGCTACTTATTAAAATTCCCAGATGGATCTCCCACAGCCTTCAGGAATAAGAGCAATGCTTAAAAGCTCTTAATTAAAGATTGGCAGATGCTCAAATACAACAGTAATGGGAATCAATCAAAAGCCATCTGTGCATATGCACATATTTACACAGTAATGCTGGGTGGAAGTATGCTGGAAAGATCCTACACAGATTTACATGAAACTTCACTGAGGCTACTTCTACTCTTTCTGCTCAGCAAGTGGCTAAAGGTCAAGCAGTGAGCTCTAATATTCAGAGGACAAGTCCCTTCTGCCAAACAGGACTCCTGAACACAAGTTTAAAACCAGTGAGCTAAGGTAACTTTACAACTGTTAGGCCCCCTTCCTGGGCCCCTCTCATAAGAATCATTTGCAGTAATAAAATTCCTAAGCAGAGTTTCAAGGCTTTTCTAACTGCAAGAGGCACTGTTAGACTGTGAAGGACAAAAGCTAGCTAAAAAAAAAAGTCTTGGTTAAATAAGAGGGCAGGAACTGTTAAAGACATGTCTGGCAGTAGCTGGGGAAGGGAAAAGTTAGCCAGAGTATTTGGCTCTTAACCTGCAGAAACTATGGCAGCAAGAAAGAGGCCCTTCTCTGTGGCTCAGAACCCTGGAGTTTGGAAGACTTGGGGCTCCAAGAACCAGGCTGAAGTGCCATCTTCCCTACTTGTTTCAGCCACATGCCTTAGCTTAAGCTAAGATTAGCTGTAATTGGAGACAGGGACTTTTTTCTATGATGCATCTGTGCAGCACCTAGCACACTGGGGCCCCAACCTGGCTGGGACCTCTGTATTACAAATCACTACAAACTGTACAAGAGTAACAGCAGCAGAGGACCCTGATAAGGGATGCAGCAACAGTGTGATGGTTAGATCTTTATCAGGAAGGCGAGACTGTAAGAAGGGAGAAGGTGGCTCTTGTTCCATTGATTTAACGCCACCAATAGAAACAATTTAGCTGCCTAGGATTATAAACCATAAACTTCTGCAGGCATTGGTAAATAACCATATTACTGATTGAAAGCCAGTCTAACTGCATAGTAAAGGCTTGTCTACACAAAGAGTTGTGCGGCTTTAAATTATACCATATAATTAAAATGGACAACCCCACTAGTGGGGACAGTTATACCAGTAAAAAAAAAAAAAGGTGTTTATACCAGTATAACTTATTCCCATACAGGAAAAGGGAATAAGCTACACAGTTATAAGGCACTTTATACCAGTATAACTGTGTCCACACTAGGGCTGTGTCTACACTTGCAAAGTTTTTGCACTGTCAGTTTCAACGGTGATCATGAACCGGTGAAAGAGAAGCGCTGGCTTGGGTACTCACTTTCTGCTGCCTGTGGAAGAGTGTGTTTACATCTGCAGCACTTCCATCACCGACGAGAGCCGTGCATGGAGGGCAGCTGTCCCACAGTGCAACTCTCCATTTTGATGATTGTGGAAAGGGGGGAGGCATGATTT